TAAAAATATTATATAATTACACAAAAAACTCTCAACCACAATCTTAAACAGATCCAAATCCGATAAATAAATAAATAAATTATGCGCTAACATATTAATGAGCCGCCCGCTTCACCATCACCTTGACATAATTCTAATAAAAATCTCACCGTCCACTTTGGATGTGAGTATGGTTATACATAAATTTTTTATCACATAAATTTATTTATAGTTTTTAAAAATGTCGATTATATTTAATTTAGTTATTAAAAATAATTGATAGTTAATAAAATAATTTATGTCATTTAATATTTGAAGATAATTTATGGATAAAATTAGTAAATACATAAATTATCTTCAAATATTTAATTTAAAAAATTAAAAGACAATAATTATTTTGAGATAAATAAAGTTTTTTTATCAAATAAATAGAGTATTTAAAAGTTATAAATAGATAAAATATTAACCAAATCAAATAAATACATTGTAAGCTAATTTTTTAATAATTTAAGGAGGTGATGCTATAGAGATAATTTTTTATATTATTTTTTATACAACTTTCACATATTATTAAATGAGTAGATGTATTCAATATCATAGATTTCAAAAAAATAAAGAAAATGAATCATTTAAATAACATATAAAATTATACTAAAAGATAATACAAAAATATTATATCTTAAACACACCAAGTAGCACAGCATTAATTGCTTAATTAAAATAAAAATATCTGTAATATTATACCAGAAAATTTTGCAAAATAGCAAGTGTGTTTACTTGAAATCGTTGAATTGAATTGACATTAAAAAAATATTGGAAAGAAATAAAGAGAGACTTAAAGGGAGTTCTACAAGTTTCTCATAAACAAATATTGCATCCCCTCAGCCTCAGGCCAGTTGGAAGCAGTATACCTACACAACCGAGTTTATCTTATTTGATCTTTTCCTCTTTAATTTTCGCATATTAGAGCCAATTAATCCTTTCTCCAGGCCACCTGTTGTCTCTACTCGGGAAACAAGTCTCACGCTGAAAGCAGGAGCTGTAGCTTTAACTTCTTTTCCTCAACAGTCATTCCCAACTTCCCAAGGTAAGCTTTTCTTAAACCAAATACTACATTTTCTTGCACAAGGTTATTATCTATATAAATAATTACTTCTTCACCCAGATGAAACCATTACCCTTCCCAAAAACTTCTTCCTCTTAATCATTTATAAATTCTAACCATATCCAATCCTTTCTTTCATCTGCATTGCATATCTCTCTCTCTCTCCTCTCAAGTCTCAATGCACATACCAAATGCTTGTAACATAAAGATCTCTAGCTTTCCCCTGAACTA